GAGAGAGAGAGAGAGAGAGAGAGAGAGAGAGAGAGAGAGGGAGGGAGAGAGAGAGTTGTGTCTCTCTAAGTCCAAGAAAAGAAGAGTAGCCTTTCAACCATGCCTATGTTTAGACTAATACTTCTGTGCTCAGGAATATTGTTGATGCTGAGAATAAAATATGCATGTACATAAACAGCCCCCTACCCTCAAAGACCTCATTGATATGTAAAAAATAAAAACAATGAAAAATCAAATACAAACAGTTTCATTACAAAATAAATATTTCTATAGTAAAAGCACACTTATGATCTAGAGGTGGGACAAAGAGAAACAGTACCAGATCTACCCTAAGACGGAAAAATAGTCTCAGAGAAGAAATATCACTACAATGAACCATGGAGGATAAGTAGGAGTTTGTTAGATGCACAAGGTCAAGAGAATAAAGGGAATAACACAAAGGTATGAGGTGTGACTGAGTACATCAGCACAATTTTTATTTTTTTTATTTTTTATTTTTAGACAGGGTCTCTCTGGAGCCCTGGCTGGCCCATAACTCTCTGCTTAGAATAGGTTGGCCTTGACCTCATAGAGAACCACCTACCTTCCTTTGCCTCTACCTCTGGCTCTACCTCCTGAATGATGGGATCAAAGGCATGTTTACAGCTCTGAAAGTGCTGTCCCCAGCCTCAGGCAGGGACTCTGTGAGCATGAACATCAACAACTTCCCAGTCTTGGCAGAAAATGTTGTCTGTCTATAATCCCAGCACTGGTTAGGTATGAGAGAAAGATGAGGAGTTAAAGGTCATCTTCAGCTATACAATGAGTTTGAGGCTACCCTGGATGCACGAGAACCCCATCCCTGGCTTTGGGAGAGACAGGAATTAGATTCCAGCCTGACCATGTTAACAGATTTGCAGATGGGTTGTCCCATGTCTAACAGTTGCTTTAAAAAATTCCAGAGGGAAATGTTGAGGCAAAGATAAATATTGTGGTGACCTAAAGCCAATGACTGCCAAAGCTGGGAAAAGTGGTCCATGATAAAAAGCTAAAAGAAAAGTATTGACACCACAGCTGGTTGTATGGTCCTGGGAGCTCACTTCTGTGTGTTTACATCTCAGATTTCTTTTTCTTTCTTTTTTCTTTTTTTTTTGTTTTTGTTTTTTTGTTTTTGTTTTTCGAGACAGGGTTTCTCTGTATAGCTTTGGAGCCTATCCTGGCACTCGCTCTGGAGACCAGGCTGGCCTCGAACTCACAGAGATCCGCCTGCCTCTGCCTGCCAAGTGCTGGGATTAAAGGCATGCGCCACCAATGCCCCACCATACATCTCAGATTTCTCACACCAGGTTTTCCTAAGTTTTTTTAGTTTTTCTTTTTTTGTTTGTATTTTAGTTTTTTGAGACAGGGTTTCTCTGTGTAGTTCTAGCTGTCCTGGAACTCTGTGTAGACCAGGCTGGCTTTGAACTCACAGAGATCTGCCCGTCTCTGCCACCCAAGTGCTGGGATCAAAGGTGTGCACCACCACTGCCTGGCCTTATGAACAACTTTGAAGAACAGTTTTGTTTTGTTTTTGTTTTTGTTTTTTGTTTTTTTTCATTAGAGCAGACTGCCCTCCCACCATTAACACAACCTCCCACAATATCCTTGGAGGACTGAGAAATCAGGGCCTGGTAAGTGGCCTCTGTTCTCTTACCCGGTAACAGGCAATTCCTAGTCCTAGCCATGTCAGGCATGAAGGTGATCTCTTACAGACTTGCATGTAGGTTGTCTTTGCCTTTTCATACTGTCAAAAGAAAAGTACCATAAGCTTCAAACACTGTGTTGCTAAGGTAACTGTGAGCTTCTTGATAGTTTTGCTCCAGAATAATCTGAAATTGAGTGAGTCCTTGGACTATATTTTCATGGATACTTTAAAGGAGTTGTTGTAAGAGTTCTGGGGAGAGCTGAGGAAGCCAAAATGAAACTTTCAAATGTAGGACTCAAGCAGGGCAGTGTTGGCATACACCGTTAATCCCAGCACTAGGGGGGCAGAGGCAGGCAGCTCTCTGTGAGTTCGAGGCCAGCCTGGTCTACAGAGTGAGTTCCAGGACAGCCAAGGCTACACAGAGAAACCCTGTTTCAGAAAACAAAAACGAACATAAAAAAAGAAGTGGGACTCTGTGGCTTATTTCTTGTCTTATATCTATAGCTGATCTTGAGCATTTAACCTCGGAACTGGTTGCCTAGTAACCATGAGGTTAGTAGTGCCTGGAAGATGCAGCTTGCAATGACGTTAGAAAGACAATGACTCCTTATTTACTTCATTGCAGTAGGGCTGTGATTTCCCTCAGCCCTGACTTAGCCTTCCCATGTACATTGTCTACTATTGTAACTTCATGTTCCTGCTGATTAATATAGTAAATAAAAAAAACTAACATTCATGGGTCAAGAAGAGAAAAGGAATGAAGACAAAACAAAAATCGGAGAGTCAAAACATTGGTGACAGAATGGTGACAACAATCATATGGGTCCAGGTGGTTTGTTCTCTTATGGTGTTTATTTTGCAAGGATTTGAAGTTTTCTACAATAGCAAATCCCTGCCCCACCCCGTTTCAAAGGCCCTTGGGGTCATTCCCTAAAAGATAGCAGAGGGACAGCTAAAGAGGCAGGTTAGAGTGCCCAAGAGGAAGGGCACTAGCCTAAGTTAGATGCGATCTAATGCTCTGTGTTGGGTAGGAAGTTTGAAGAAGTCCTTTAGAGTCCCAGGACATGTTTTATGCTTAAGTCAAGCTAAGAATGTTTCTTTTACCTCAGATAAAATTCCTATTAGTATTAATAAACTATTTAGTTAAAATAATATTCATTAAGTTCATAATTACTTTTTAGTAGCCCAGTGGTCAATACCAGACTCTCATTTCCACACTAGTTACTGGGTACCTAATGCTGAGCAAATGACTTTATCATTGGTAGAAAGGTGACATGATCATGCGACTCTTTTTAGGCTGGCTATGAAGCAGGATAGGAGAACAGGAAAAATTAAGGAGACATGAGGAAGGAAAAGAATTTCCCTGTTTTAGAACTGTCTGGAAGTCAGAGACTTCCACACAGCTGCTGAATGGAAACCATCTTGGGAGATAGTGCTGATCTCCCTAAAGATAAACAAGGATGCTAAAAACAATGGACCATGTTTCTTAGGACCAGAGGGTCTTAAGTTTAACTGCATTGCCATTCCTCTCTCAGCCCAAAACCTAAAAAATGCTCCTTATTGAAACCTTGTCAATTTAATTTACAAAAGGAAATCCTTTTTAAAAAGATTTATCTTATTTTTAATCATGTTATGTGTGAGTATGTGCATGTGAGTTGTGGCCTGTGCAGGATGTCAGATCCCTTGGAACTGGAGTTACAGGCAGTTTCTAAGCGGCCTGATGTGGGTGCTGGGAATGTGTTCTTAGACACTGAGCTATCTTTGCATCCTGAAAAAGGAAGTTCTTTAAAGATTTCTTTTAAAAATGTTTGTTTACATGTATGAGTGTATGTCATGTGTGTGCTGGTACCTGCAGCTGCCTCAAGAGGGACTCAGATCCCTGAAAGTGGAGTTATAAGTAGTCATGAGCTGCCTGATGGCTCATGTTTTAAGAGTAGTATAAACTTTCAACCACTGAGCCTTCTCTCAAGCCCCAAAAGGAAATAAACCAGCTCATGTTTTTTAAACAATTGTGTGTGTGTGTGTGTGTGTGTGTGTGTGTGTGTGTGTGTGTGTGTGTGCGCGCGCACGCGCGCGCCCTTTTGTGAGAGCGCCAGAGTGTGTCTGTGTACCACATGCATGCCTATGGAGATCAGAAGTGTCAGATGCTTGTGAGCTGTTATGTGAGTGCTAGGAACCAAACCAGATTCCTCTGCAAGAGGTTATTCATGTATGAGTATATGCCATGTGTTAACCACTTAATCACTGAGCCATCTCTCCAGCCCTACAGCTCATAATTTTTACACTCATGAGCTTGAAAAGCTTGCTTAATCTTTGAAGCTTCTTTTAAATCACAGCTCAGAATCATACGTATAGGTGTTGTGAAGACACCCAGATGTTCTCTTGAGAAGCCCACACCCATTTTGGATGTGCACTGCTCTTTAGTCAGTTTCTCTCTCTCCTCCCCGACTCATGCTTAGCTAAACGGTGTGCTATTCTGTATCTCTACTTAGTAAACTCCCCGACTTTGCTTCCTTCCGACATGTCTTGAGTTCTCTTCTTCAGTGTGGTTTTACCTAAAGTGAAGGTCTCCAAAAAAGCGGGTGGGGTGGAAGGCAATGATGGTGTGGGAGGGCAGAGGATGGGAGTTCTTCGGGTTCCTCTAGGTGGCAGTGCTGAGCTACATTTATCCATAGCCACTGACAGGTCCTGGACCTCTGGTTACCTCCGCTGTTTTCTCTCCCTTACCTCCTTCTCTTCCAGGTAGATTTGTCCCAGTCGTAGGAAGATGAAGTGCATCTCGGAAGCATCAACTACAAAACTAACGGTTCGTTCATAGCATGCCTTGGCCTCAGCGTGATTTCCACTCAGGAAATAGAGATGGCCCTTCACACCCCAGACATTAGGGTTCTGAGGAAGCAAGCAAAGAACATGCAGGCTAATGTGGTATCTAAATCTCGAATGAATTTTGTTTAACATGTAAATTTAGATTGGTGCACTTCTCTTCTTTTGTGGTTTGTTTGCTTGCTTTTGTCTGGTTTTTGAGACAGGGTTTCTTTGTGTAGCTCTGGCTGTTCCAGAACTCACTCTGAGGACCAGGCTGGCCTCAAACTCACAGAGAACCACCCCCTGCCTCTGTCTGCTGGGATTAAAGGCATGCACTGCTACGGCCAGGTTCCCTCAGAAATTCTTTTCTTTTTTCTAAAAACACACAAAAAGCTGTTTTCGTTACATTAGGGGGGTGTTTCCCTAGGTCTGTTCTCATTTTTTGATTCCTCAAAGCCATTTTGTCTTCAGGGCTAACTACTAAGACAACAGGCAACTGCAATCAGGATAATGCTATTAGGAGCAAAGAGAAGTCTAGAAACTTGAAATAACAAGCAAATCCTGCTAAATGCCCACCTTATCTCTTCTCTTTACCTTTTGTAAAACTCATGATTACTTAAGAAAAACAAACACAAGTGTAAATGTTACCCACACATACACACACAAACCAGAAATTTCCCTGTGATGTGGCACTGCCATTTATTTATTAATTCTGAGACAGAGATTCCTCATGCTGCCCATGCTCACATCAAACTCCCAGGTTCAAACCCCCAAGCCCCTGAGGCACACACTATTGTGCCCTGATTTCATCTCTGTTTTAGTGAAGCCTGTTCTCCCTTCCAAGAGGCTCTATCTAGGAAATCAGTACCAGATAGTCCATCTGGGCCGCTTGTTGAAGGTACTCCTCTGTCTTGGCAAAGTCCTTCTTGAGAAGGTGTGTCTGGGCCAGAACCAAATAATATTCACAGCTGGGTCCTCCTTGAGGGCACAGCAGCTCATGTGCCAGTACTCTGTGTACAAACTGCAAAGAAACCCAAGGATGAAGACCATAAAATGACTGCACAGCTTTACGGGGCAGAGAGATGGCTCCAATGGAGAGCGGTCGGTGTTTTATAGCATCTTCAGTGGCAAAGCGACAAGGGCCAATCACAAGCACTCGGTACATTATGTTCTAGTAACAGCTACTCAGTCAGCAAATATCAATATTTCCAAGTGAACACCTTGCAGCACTGCACGGTGCTGGCCCTGGTGGCCATCAGACTGAGATTTAAACTGTATTTATGAGGTTCAAGCAAAGGCATTTCATCAGCCATCCTGCTTACACAGGAAGTAACATTTTCAAACAGTTGACATTTTAAGGAAACTCATAATGAGGCAAAGTCGCCTCTCTGAAATGCTAAGACCTGGAATTTCACAAACATAAATACCTGCTTTTTCCACAACACTAAACATCTATGCACACCAATGCACCCTGAGGCTCTTTCCCCCACCCCCTCAAGTTAAATGACCGCTAAATCTGGCGTAGTCATGTGTGCTTGCAAAGCACAAGTGGACCCTCCCCAGCTTCTGCAGTCCGTTCTTAAGTCTTTTAGCTTCCGTACAGAAGCCTGTTAGCTCTACTTGCCCCTGGCAATCTGACCTGGGTAGATGGGATTCATTCACTGAGGAGAGAGCCTGTTCCTGCTGGGAAGCATTCCTGTGTGTGAAAGGCTCTTGTTTAATGTGGTTCAATCCCACCCAGTTCTCAATTCTTGTCCTTTCTTGAGATTGGATGCCTTCAAGTGAGGCATTACTTGCAGGATCAGGGTCCATTCCACCAGGTCCTCCATCTTACACTTGCTCATGGGTACCCCTCACGTAGGCATGTGCTTGTTGGATAAACTTCTCTTTTGGAAAGAAGACTGCATCCCTAGCTGCTCTGCCTGTGACTATGTGGGTCAGCAAATTTGGAAACAGTGTATGTGTATGTATGTTTATA